TTGATTTATTTATATATATATATAGTGTGTGTGTGTGTGTGTGTGTGTGTGTGTGTTAATTTCCATAATAGCCAAAATCCCTAAGACTTCCTGATGGTCTCCCATTTAAGTCCAGCTCTGCTTATTTTTATGAGATCAGCCAAGATTAACTAGGGGCTCTCAGTTTTTACTTTAATTCTACTCTAAACAAAATAATGATAAAGATAAATAAATGAATACAGAACAGGAACCCAGAGCAGCAGAAACAGAACAATCCCAGAAATTCACACAGCCACATTGGAATATTGAGAATGTGGGATAGTTTTGCTTTGCAGAATTTGCAAAATTCAATGTGCAGTTAATTATCGTGTGACTTTCCATGTGACTGACAAAATCTTTAATATTCATGTTTAATGTGAAACTGAAGGGTTGTAGAGACTCTGGTATTATATTATTATATCATAATTATCCTTCTCTGGTCCAGTTTTGCTCATGGCTCAGATGGAACTGCCTGCAAGATTCTTGTGGACAAAATTATTTCTTCTGGCTTGAGTTCATCTCATCCACGATGCATAAGGATTCCCCATCCCTGTCAGCCACAGCAGGAGCAGCCAAAGTCAAGAAATGAGAGCTCAGAAATTGAATGTGATGACATCACAGCAGGAAAAAAATCACTGCTACACTTTAAATGAGCAAGCAGAACTCCGCTTCTGTATTTGGCTTGGGATTTCTGTAGTTACCCAAACCCTACGCTTACTGTAATACGTACATGCAGAATGACTTCAGTTTATATCCCACCTTTATATCCATCAGGAATATCCAAAGAGAAGTCCAAAAATCAAAATGGTGGCCTTGACTGCAGTTGAAGCTGCTTTTTTACATGTTGTGGCCATCTTGACTTTTTGATCCTAGCTGGATGCCCCTGGTATCCATAGAAAACTCAACATGGCTAACAGCGATGAGGAAACAAACTGAAACATAAGAAAAGACCTTTTAAAAAGTTTAACTTAAGTTAAAAGCCATGCAATTCTGAGAAAAGACAGAATGTTGCTTTACAAAGTTACAGAAACTGCTCCTTTTGTGTCCTCGTGCTCTATGAATGGATCCTGAAGCATTGCAAAGCTCTAATTTGTGTGTGTATACACATACACAAATGCACACTGCCCATTTTTAGATAAGACTCACTGGTTTTTGTTACTTGCAGGATAATGACTGCAGGCCAGCTTTAAGCATTAAAAAGGGTTAATTCAGACAGTCATTTGAACAAAGCAGAGTTAAAGCTGAGGTTTTCCCTCATTTTGTGGGCAGCTGCAGGTTCTCCGCTTGTCAAACTAAAGACAAATATACTGCTGACTGAGGGAAAGATTTATTATAGTCATCTTTCTCCTTGTTTCACTATGTAATATATATAATACAAATGTCTTGGATATAAAACATGTTTATGATTATTTTTTTTGGCTTTAAAAAATGACAGATGCTTTTCTGAGGGGACATAAAAACCAGAATGGAGAGGTTGCTATGGAAAATACCCCCTCCCATAAACTGAAGCATACTGTATTAGGCTGTTCTAACAACATGTATATGTTAAATAATCTTAAAAGGTATTCCTAGTCTTTTGCTGAGTTCTGGGGCACCCGAAGGATACAGTGAGACTGTAAAAAATTAACTGTTTTTATTGCAGCATAACAGAGTTTATTTCCCACTTTTTTTTTTTTAATACAGAAATTCACATAAATTCTGGAGATCAAGCTACAGAAAGAGAATCCAAACATGAAGCTGTCAAGACATACAGGAGACTCAAAAGATAAATTGTAGGGTAATCTGTGCATCACATTTATAACTGTAGCCACAGAACTTGCAAAGTAGCAAATCTGATTGAAGTAACTAAAAGGCCTAACAAGACACTAAAAGAGAACAGCTGCACTCAATAAAAATGGCAAAAATGCTTCACAAATTATTTTTTTTATAAAAAGACAGCTTTTTTTAAAAAAATGCATCTGATATAAACGGTGGTGGTAGGGAACAGCAGATGCTGCATAAGATTATGGCTTCTGGGATTGATGGGAATTGTAATTCAACACATCTGGAAAGCATCAAGTTGAGGAAGGCAAGATTATACTTATGGCATGCATACAACCATGTGGAACCAAACCCAGATCACAGCAAGTTCACCAAAGAAACAAAGTTATGGAGCCTTATAATGATATTCTGCTCATTTAAGAAATTGTCCTGAGTGCTGGGCTTGTCTGAGAACTCAGCCTTCTGGTAGGAATTCTCAAACTTTGGGTCTTGCATCACTTTAGGTCTTGTGTCATTTTAAGAAGTCTTGCAACTTCTTAAAATGATAAATGAATTTGCGTGACCTTGTCCCATAAGTAAAGCTGAGGATGATTAGGGTTAGGGTCAGGCAAATATATTTGAATACATATCAAAAGATAAGTATATATTTTAAATACATGTCAGCAGATTCTTTGCCAGCACAAACCCACAACATTCTGTTGTGGGTTTCTGGTGGCAAAGTAAGGAGGAAAGGCCACATGAGTTTTGAAAGCACTACTGCTTTGTGCTCACACCTGCTTTGTCTGGCAAGTTCACAGCTGGCTTGTGCATGCAAAGTGGAGAGCAAGACCCAGAGCAAGTTTGATGATGTTCCCAATTTGCATGCACAAGCTAAATCAGGCTTTTAAAAAACACCATCAAAGTTGTTCATGGCTGGCCAGGGGATCCTGACCCACTGTTTAAACATCTCTGCCATGGGGAATTACATAAACTTCCGAATCAGTTCAGCCCAAGTCTGACTGATCCACAGGATGAAAATTGCTTCCAAACAGATTGTTCCTAGGGCTACCATTAAAAAAGCAATATGCAGTGTTCTCTCTCTCTCTCTCTCTTTCTCCTTAGTAGATTATTTATGGTAAGAAAAAAGATGGAAGAAACTGTTTGCAAACTTGAAAAAAATAAGAGGTGGCTTTAGCCGAGCACACAACCACCTGGTGAAAGAAGATTTGCATTAGGCAGCATGTATCTTTGGTATTGTCTGCTATCTATATTTCCTATGACACATTTGAAAACTGCTGATGAATAAAGACTCTCACAGACCTACATAGAA